CCTCTCCAGGGATGTGGCGAGAGCCAGCACGATGGCACTTGTACTCTGGGAAGGGTGAAGGACAGAGCTGCTTGGGGATGCCGGGCTGCGATGTCCCGCTGATGACAGGGAACGGGAGCCTGGGCTGGAGCCTGGGGACAAGGAGCAGAGCTGGAAGGGATGTGCCGGCACCGGGATCAGGCAAACAGGTCCCCAGGAGGGATGAGACGGAGCCACAATGCGAGGAGGAGTTTCCAGGAGCCGTAGGCATGCAGCGACGGGGACAAGGGACAATATTGCTGCTCCAAGGCACGGCCAGATGGTTCCCTGCCGTCCGCCTCTCCCGTACCTGCCCCGAGGAACGGGTGCACTGGGAGCGCCCTCCTACCTGCAAAAAGTGGGGAAAACACCCCCTTTCCCTGCAAAGATCAGATCCACTCCCCTCAAACGGCTGGCGGTTGTCCCCATGCACGGCGGTGCCACTCGGGGAGAGGAAGCTCCTGCCACACTGCATGTGCCACTGCACTGCCAGATTTTGTCAGATCTATCCCAGTCCAGCAGTTTAGCACAGCAACGCTCCAGCCTGCTGCTTTCCCGACCTCCCCGGCTTTTTGCCACTCAAAAAAACTCCCCATAATTAAGTTCCTCAAAGTTCTGGGGAGAAAAAATCAGGAAGAAAGGGAAAAAAAGAGAGGGAAGTTTTCTTGTTTGTGAAGGAGCTTGCACGCTGCGTAGAAATGCTGAAAGGGGGGTTGTTCCCTTAAAGTAACTTCGCTTTTTTCCTTAAAAACGTTTGTCTCGGGTCAAGCAGCGTGGGAAGGAGAAGGTCATGAAGCTCAGCCGGGGCAGGTGAACAGGCGCCAGGGTCACCTCCCAGCCCGAAGGGGACAGACAGAGAGGAGACCGAGAGCGGAGACCGGGTGCCTTTTGCACCCCGGGGACCCCCAGGAGACCCCCAGCAGCTCCTGTCCAGAGGACAGCACGGACCCGGGGAGGGAGGCCGTGATGTTGAGCATCGTCCTGCTGCCAAGCGACAGGTTTCTCCCGTAGAAACGGCCTGACCTGGCGGGGAGGGAACATTTCGAACCCCCGCGTGCCGCAGGGCCACGGGGATGGTCTTTCCTGTTCACACGCTCGGGGTTGGGGTGCGCTGCCCTGCCGCCCGTGTGCCGGAGCACAATAGCACCGGGCTCATTTCATGCCTGGCTGCCAGCTCCGCCCGGAGAAGGGGTTAGGGCAGGCGGCCGCAGGAACT